TTTTTGTGCAGAAGTTTGAACTTCTGTAAACCTCCTGGTCTTACATGGAAAAATAATAGAAATCTGTACAGTGCTCTGTAATTGTATCAAGAATGTGTGATTATTGCATGAGGGGGGAAATCAGCAATTGCATTTACCAACTTAAAATCTGTGCTTGACCCTGACCTCAGCTGACCCACATACAATCTGCACTGCCACAGACTTAGTGTGACCTTGGTCAACTTACTGTGGGCATGTCTGAATGTAATAAAAAAGTGTTGGTAAACTGTGCATAGACCCACCTGAAATTATTTTAAGCTAACCAACTCAGTTCTCAATAAACTTGTAGCTGTAGCAACACAGAGCTCAGCACAGCTGGGAAAGAGAAGAAATAAAAACAGAAGGCATCCACACTGCTTGTGTCCTTCTGCCAGTGGGTCTGTCAAGACTAGTAAGCTAAAAAGATCCCACTTTGAAGGTCTTATATTCCAGGTACTAGTTAAAGTATTTAACTCTATCATAGTAATCATGGGAAGGGAAACTGTGTAGTGTTGAATATCACACTGACAGTGGGGCTGATATGTCTAGAGAATTGATGTACTTGTTGGCTGAGGCTGACAGGAACTTGCTTAGTGCTTTGTTTGCACATCTCATGGAATCCGCTGATTTACAAAGTAAATCTAAATTTAAGAAAAGAACCTGAACTGAAGGTGTTTGTTCTCTTTTTACAAATTTGCCATATTTTTTTTCCAGTCCTACTAATTTAATCCAGGTAATCGTAAAAATGTAAGTAATTTATACAGCACATGGCTGTTATGCACCTGAAACTAGTTTAGGCATTTTTCTTATTTATCCTCAAGGTCAGGTCTCTGTTGCTAAAATTCTGCTGGAGTAATGTGGCAAACTTACTGACAACTACAGACTGAAAACTAAAATGTAAATATTTGTATTACTCTAAAACTCAGTGTCTCATCAGTGAGGTAAAGATGTGAAAACTGTGTCCAATACCACAAGTTTAAGCCCATTTGGGAATGCCTATGATGAAAATAAAGATGCACCTAGCTCTACAAAACTGAATCCTGTGTCTTCCCTCTGGCAGAAAGCTCAGGATTATGGCTATGATCAGTCTTTGATGGCTCGCCTGCACAAACATCTGGAAGAACAGGTGCAGCAAAATATTATAGGGAAGCTACCAGTTGTGCAGCTGACTGTGCAATACAGGATGCATCCTGACATCTGCCTCTTCCCATCCAACTATGTTTATGGGAAGACTCTGAAGACTGACAGGTGAGTACCATTCTGATAGCTTTTTAAAAGGGGGTATTTATGGTAAACTAACAGGACTTGTTTGCCATTTCAGTAATTATCCTTTTGTGGAAGATTTCTTTATGTAAGAGAAGAAAAACCTTTTTTTAACTTAATGTGAAGACCTGTGTTCCCCTCTATCTCTAGCTCTTGGCATTGGTGCATCAATTCACTAGCTTGCTGTCTCTGATACTGGGATAATTCTTTGTCACCAACAACTCAAATCCGTGCTTGGATCTAAGGAATCCAGATGAGAAGCTGCAAAACCTCTGGTTTTTGTTAACCTTAGTGAATAAATGATGTGTCAGTGCTCTAAACTTTACGGTCACCTGATTATAATTATGCTTTTTTTTTTTTGATAGAGCAACAGAGGAGAGCCGATGTTCTTCAGATTGGCCATTTCAGCCCTACCTGGTCTTTGATGTAGCGGATGGGCATGAGAAACGGGATAAAGAGTAAGTTCTCCATTCTCCTGTCCAACAAATCCTAAATCTACTGAGGAGATTAACTGCAGCAGATGTTTTTTCATAGATGGAACATAGTCAAATCTCCATTCTAAACTGGACTTATCTGACGTTGGCAAATAATAAAACTTAGTTACTCAGGGATGAACCGCCACTCTGATATCAACATATTTATCTTGCCTTTATAAAATGGCTTAGATGCAAGTGATTGTGAGTTGATGCAAGACTGTTCAACCTGCACAGTTGTCTGATAATGAACAAGAGAACTTATGAAGAGTCTGTTCCCAACTGAGAATGAGTGTCTCTACACACTTCCAGTTTTTTCCTTTTTTTTCTTTTCGTGTCCCATTTAGAAATCACTTTTCCTACAGGAGACTATTCACAGTTATGTAATAAGAGGTCTTCAACCGAAGGCTGTGAGCAGGGGGCCCTGACTATCAGTTTCTTCTGTCTCTTAGCCCTGGGACTTTTCCTGACTGTCTGATGTCAGTCATCTTTTAGCTTTAAAAAGCTTCTGTTGCCTGCAGCTAGTCTGGGGGGAGTTCCACTGAAACTCTCTGAATTATTCCTCTGACTCCATTCAGCCCAATCTGTGATGTGTATAGTCTGTTGCTGCTTTGCTCTTTCAACCATGGTTTGTGCTGAATCCTCTGATATCTGATTGTGGCACTCTCTTCTAAGGGATACTGTCACATCAGTTCAGTTCTGAAGAGGGATGGTCCTTTGTTTCATCTACACATGCTTCAGCTAACTTGATCAAGTGAAATGGCGCAAAACACTCAGCAGCATCTGTCTGGACTTAACTCAGTTTTGTCTGTCTCTGTGCTTGCTTCATTTCTATCTTTGGGATGGCATCTCAGCTGGCTTTTGCTTTTCAAGGGTGCAAGTTTTTAATTAATACTCTTTGTGATAGCATGGACTTTTGGTCCCAGGCACCTTGGTTTGGTGGCTTACAAGCAGTCAGTTCATACCAACTGTTGTTGCTTAACCTAGAACATGTTCTCCAGGTCTGTATGATGTCACTGACTTGCTCTTCACCATATAATCCTGTGATTTATGATGCTGGAGGGCAGAGTTAGTGTGTTCCCCATCCCCCATCGAATGAGGAATTATATTTGAAAATTTTCAGACCTCACATGATTAAAAGCATCACCTTTCACAGCAGATATTTCCCAACAGCAACGCTAACTTGCATTTTACAAGGAACCAGCTTTGAGACCTTAAGGGAACTGCAGAAGTAGAGAGCATGAAGAGGTATTGCAAATCAAAGCACGTGGCTTGCACTGAAGTATTGTGTCGGAAAGATCACTGGGAAATACACATATGTATTGAATCTTTTTTTTTCTCTTGTTCAGTTCTTTTGCAAATCCCCAGGAAGTGAAGCTGGTGGTGGAATTAATTAAAACAATAAAAGAAAAAAGAAAGGATACTGGTTCTCGTAACATTGGAATAATCACCCCTTACAATGCACAGAAAAAGATCATTCAACAAGAATTGGACAGAGAATTTGGAAAAGACAGGTAAAAATGCCCCACAGGTTCTGAATGGGACTGTGTCCCCTTAGATGGAAGTCCTTTTGCTTTTCCTATGTTAAGTAGGGTAGAAACTGTTATAGTTAGTATTTCTTGATGCTATGAAAGATCTGACACTTGGCTGCATCAGTCAAAAGTATAGACAGGAATTCAAGTCTTTTTTGTTAGTGAGGTCCTTTGGTACCATTTTCTAGTTCATGCCTCTTATGCTGTTTAAAAACAGAACTTACTAAAGAAGCAAGGATTTTTGCGGGCAATTTGTCTTTTGCACCAACTGCATTACTGAGAGAGACTTAGATATGCTTTCAAATGCAGTGCATAAAGAGCACACTTGTAAAATTGATTCCTAATCTATACTAAATCTGAATGGCATTTCAGTAATAACCTTGGCATCGGGAAATGAAGGTGAATGTTTTCAGGACAGTGCATGACGCTCCATCTCTTCATTGGTCAGAAATGGAAGTTTACAGCATGGCTTATTTCAATAGGTTTAAACTTTCCTAGAAGTGTTGAGGACGTTTGGGTAGGTCATTACATGGCTCTCCATTCTTTTCATTGCTAGAGCCGGAGAAGTTGACACAGTGGATGGGTTCCAGGGCCGACAGAAAGACTGCATTATAGTGACATGTGTCCGAGCGAACAGTGCACATGGGTCGATTGGGTATGTCTTTCCATTCCTTTCCAAACAGCAGCTGCTAGCACCATTTGTGGCACGTCACAGGTTGCTGCCCCCCCCCCCGGTCTAGCTGACTGATTCTCCATTGGGTGCTCACATGGGGTTCACTTTTTGGTTTTTGTCAGCCAGGTTGTATTAAGCTCTTTACAGACATAGATTCATAGATTTCTAACGTCGGAAGGGACCTGGTAGATCATTGGGTCCGACCCCCTGCTCCAGGCAGGAAAGAGCGCCTGTCTAATCTCCTCTTGAGCACCTTCAAGGTAGAGGGGAAGCACCACCTCCCTTGGAAGCCCATTCCATATTTTGGCAACCCTTACTGTAGATTTCAATTGGACATAAGGAAGAAATTCTTTATTCTCCTTCAGTTTGTAGCCATTCTTTCTGGTAACCCCAAGGGGCGCCCTGGTAAACGGAATATCCCCTGTTCCTTGCTGACCCTGCCCCTGATGAGTTTGTAGGCAGTCACAAGATGGCCTCTCAGCCTTCTCTTGCTGTAAAATGCTTTCCCCATTATTCATTTTCCATTTGGACAGCTTTAAGGTTGGTTGTTTTGTGATCATTGTGGTCTACCTTCCTGTATGGGAGGGCAAGTGATCAGTTCACTGGTTCAGCGTACGTTAAAACTTTTACCTGAACAGTCTTAGGAACATCAATTTGTGCTTTCCAGTTCTCTTGTGGAGATGTGATGTCTACACTAGAGAGCTCTTCTTTTTCTCAGAATTTTTAATGGTGGGCCATTTGACAGGTTGTTTTCCATGACTGAGGGTTTTGAGCACCCTATATGTGAAACTGCTGGAAGGCGTGTTTCATTAATATTGTGGTAGTTCCCAGAGCTGGTACTTGGACATATTGATATTAAATTAGTGTCGGCAAGCAACCCTGCAGTCAAGCAGTTATGTGACTGTTGAGTTCAACTCAAGGTTTTAATTTCAGGGCCAAGGATTAGAGACCTGTGTTGGCCAAATACTGATCAGAAGTTGTTTCATATATTTCCTATGTAGAGTGCAGGCACTGAAATTGGCAGCCTTCTCAGTCGTTGTTGCAAGTGTGGGTGGGCGCTGGCCTGGGAGAGCAGTTTTTCCCCAGGGGGCTTGTTAGGAGTCTGTTAAATGGATGTTGGCAGAACTGGAGCTATAAACAGCAAAGGAAGCTTCATTCCCTACCAAGGTTTCAGTATGGTCTTTTGTGATGCTGTGTTCCTGTTGTATATTGAGTCCTCCAGTAAAAAAACAGGCTGGATGTGACCTGATGGTTCTAATTTCACATTTTTTTGGCAAGGAATAAAAGTGTCAGGTGTTGATGCATCACAACGGAGCAGAAATGACGTCAGAAATGTTTTTCCTTTTGCAGGTCACCTTTAAAATGAATAAAATATTCAAGAACAGTATTGAAACATTAAATAGAAAGTTTTCCTTTTAATCCTAACAAATATTATTGATGTATTTCAGTTCATTAAAGGAAACTCAGAGAATCTGACAGCTGAAATACAGTTGCTGTCTTCCATCTGTGAGTCTGGTGAGGGAAGGGAAGTCATAGGAAAAATAAGATGATTTAAGAGATGGATTAAGCTGAAAACAGCAGGAGTGGGTACAAGGAGGGAGCAGAGAGGCCACTAAAAAAGGAGATAGTGGCAGCAGGAGGAGCTTTTGATGATTCTTTGCCAGGGAGGGATTCTGTACCAGGGAGCAAAGTAATAAAGGGAGGATGGGTAGCAACCAAGGCCTGCTGAGTAGGGAAGGGAAGGTGTGGGAGCAGGGAGTGGAGGACAAGGCCTTCTTTGCTACTGTTTTCTGTTTATTTCAACAATGTTCAGTTCTTAAAAAATCTGAGTTAGTCATGGAAGAGACAGCAACTTAGTTTTGTTCCTTTATTGTAGGTTTCTGGCAAGTCTTCAGCGTCTGAACGTTACCATCACCCGAGCCAAATTGAGCCTCTTTATACTTGGAAGATTAAAAACACTCATGGTAGGTGCAGGGTTGAATTGCAGCAGCTCCTGTTCCACACTTTAGGAATAAGGGAGTGAAAGCTGTTCCTAAACGCACCCCTCTTGTGAAAGAGGGATCTGTTTTAAAGTTGCCGAGTTCATACAGTCCAGACTCCCCATTCTTTCCCGTGTCAACAGATGAAAGCAGTTATGGGGAGCAGTCTTCCACTGTCGTAGTGACTCGCACATGAGGGGATTGGATCAGAGAATCCACATTGCCCCTCGCTCTCAGGCTTTCCTCTTTTTTGCTTTATAGCTGAACTGCACTGTGTTTCCTGATGAGAAGTTACTGTTTTAGCACATGCTAAGAAGTCCAAATAGGCATAGACAAAGTGAGGTTACTCCCAGCTCCTGGCTTACTGATGTCCTGCTTATCTCATTGCTGCTAGAATTTTAGGTCATAAACAGAACAGCTTGAAGTGAGGAGGAAGGCAGGTGAGGGAGACAATATTAGCTGAATTACTTAAAACAATGTGAGTTGTACTTGACCTGTTTTTTTCTCTTGGTGGTTCGTTCATTGTAAGAAGTGGAAGTGCCAGGACTGTTCTGAAGCTGTCTTTTTTTTGTTTTGTTTTTTTTTGTTCAGTTAAACCACTCAGGGTAGAGATCCTTATTTAAAAGATAGCTAGGAAATGTTCCTGTTTTCACAACCTCCTTGTCCTTATACATGGTGACCTGTGTCAGGTAGGTTCAGCCTGGCAAATGATAAAATCTTATGCACATAGGAAGCCAGCATGCCTTTTTTGAATTTCAGCTCTCACAACTTGCTTATGTCTGAGATTTTGTTGCCTACTCATGGTAAGGAATGCCTAAGGACTATAACTGATTAACTTAAAAATCCCCACCCCTCCATCCCCCCCTGCCACCTGCAGTGGACTTCAGTTTATGATGTGGATTTCCTAGCACTGTTTCACAGGTTTCCCTGAATAGCCAGTCCTTTTTCCCTATTTATTTGAATCTTGAGTACAGCACTAAAAGGAGACTTTTTTTTTTTTAAACAAGAAAACGTGGGTGTGCAGCCACACACATGGTTAGAAATGACTCTTGGTGCAGAGGTATTTTAAAGTACTTTTTAAATACTCAAATCCATTTTTTTTTGTTTTACAAGTTATGTAGATTTCTAGCCTAATGGCCCTTAAAACTGTCAAGTTCTATTGTGCTCCTCTGATATAGGTGGCAGTCAAGCTGTATTCTAATCCTGCTTGGCATAGAGAGGGACTTCAATCCTCAGTTTGGTGGTTCCATCCAGGCGTTGTCATTTTATCTCTGCTAGTGCAGCAGCAGCTGAAAGGATCCTCCTGTATGAGGCCTTTTTGCTTTTAAATGAACTGTTTGAGAGAACCTTGCATCCCCGGAGAAAATATAAATATAGTCCCTGTGACAGCAGCATGAAGTGAAATTGTGCAGACTGAAAAAGAGCCCTGTATGCATGCTCAGACTTCTCTTTGCACTGGTTTCTTTTGGCAACTTTTTCTTCTTTTTCAGGAAAATAAAGACTGGAATGAGCTGATACAGGATGCTCAGAGGAGGGGTGCCATCATTAAGACGAGTGACAAGACCTATAAGAAGGATGCTGCTAAAATCCTAAAGTTCAAGCCAGCATTGCCACGGCCATCTCCCCGTTGTCCCAGTACTGCACTGCCTGAAAAGGCTACTCGAGGGCAGCCTTGTTCAGGCAGTGACAGGCAGATTGATGTCACCAACAAAAAAGACAGCAACAGTTCTAGGAGACAGTGTGACAGTGCTGGACCCTTGGCACAAGGTAGCGGAGGGCTCAAACGGCCACAAGAATCTCAGCATTCAGACGCCAGGGGTGTCACGGTACCCACAGAAGCGAGGGCTGCAGTGCAGCCTGCTGTTCGAGAGAAACTACAGGATCCAAGACTGGCTAAGAGAAGTGAAGCAACAGGGAAGGAGCAGGCCTTCGAGAACGGTAAGCCGTCACCTCTGAGAAACCCAGGAATGACATCACCAAGGGTCTCTGAGGCATCTTCAGCTCACAGGAGTCAGAGCAGCACTGTACAGCCCTCTGTCTCCAAGGCAGACACTTCTACCAAGTGCAGCCTGTCTGAGAGACAGCCAGACTTGCCTGTCAGGTGTTCCCACATAGCTAGGCAGAACCATGACAAGAATGCTTCTGTGACCATGAGAGAGGCAGGAACTAAAAGTGAAGGAGACCAAAAAAATAAGACTGAGGGGAACAAAGACAAGACCAGCCTCTATGCACAAAGGAGAGCATCGGAACGGTCACCGGAGGACACAGGCTTCAGTAGTGCCAAGCGGAGAAAGATCTCCTCTTAACTGACGTCTTCACAGGATCAGCTACGGCAGGCAGCCCTCCCTACTAAAATGAGTCCCAGCAAGTCCTTAGAAATGTGGATTACATTTGAAAAACAAATGTCATTTATATATTTTTTTCTATTCCATCATTTGACTATGGGGGGGAGTCATACCTGCAGTACAAGGTGGGTAGTTGTCTTGTATGTAACAGTAGTAAGTTTTGAACAGTCTTCCTCAGAAGTCGAATGTAAATGTTTCAGGATTGTATATTTGTATAGTATACAGAGTTATTTTAAAGTTCAGCTGAGTGAGCGTGCTGCTGCTTGTTTTCCTGGCTAAATGCTAATTTCTCAATGAAAGATTTTTTTTTTAAAGAATCAATAGAAAATCTAACTAGATTTTTATTGTTAGCAGGTCTGATCTATTTAATAGCAAATGGAAAGTCTTGAAAAGATTGCGATGGTGGTAACAAGTCAGATTTCTTTTTTATTATTTCTAAATTTCAACTGGTTCCGTGTTGAAAATTACGAGTAGGTGAGTGTTCAATAGAGAGAGATGCTTGTGTTGTATATTTTATTTCCTCCTTTCAAAGGAACAAAGGATCCCATGTTCTGGCTGCTTATTTGTCAGCTGGAGTCCTTAGTCTGCTGATGTCAGTTGAGTGGAGTCAAAAGAGACTAGCATTCCACGCAGGAAGGTATCTGGGTTCCCACTGAAGTTGGCAGGAGCGGAGGTTTTGCCATGTCTTCAACTTATCAGGCCTGATCGCTCCATTTCAGAAAAAAGTAGTAGCACATGAAATCTGGATCAGAGATCTAGTTAAAGCTTAATGATGCTGATATTTGGCTTTGTTTTAGAGAGCTTGTTGATATCTACAGAGGCAACAAGGGAAAGCTGTTAGAGCTTAAGTAGGAGTATTGTCAGATTCTGTTTGCGATGTTGATGTTCAGATACTATACAGGTAAAAAGAAAAATAAAGCTGCAATAACTACTTTTTTCCAAGAAAGTCCTATTCTCCTCCTAATAATTTCTTAATGGAATGTAAAGAAAATACAAGTGGATTTGCTTCTTCATAGAATGTGCTCACATTCCCACAAAGCTATTCTTTGAATAATATAAGGAATATTTAGGGTTATAAAACCCAACAGCTAGCAGCACTGCTTATGGCATACAGATGGTGCTGAAAACATACTTTCCTTATGACCATGAAGATGACTTTTGAAGGGTTGACACTGACTAGAACTAGATGCCATGCAGATGAGGAAGAAATTTTCCCCATGCATTTCACTTAAAGTACTTAATGTTTTCAACCTGCGTATACCCCTGCCATTCTTTTCCAAAGTCTAATCTGAGAAGAAAAAAACATTTGTGGTGTGGACAAATGACCTCAGGACTAGCAAGAAGCCATCAAACTCACTTATTTAAGTAAGACCTGGTAAGACTTGAACCCGCCTTTTAAGGTGCAGAATTAAGACTTATCCTCATTGTGTCTCTGAGAATAGGCTAATAGTGCAGTGATCTCTGACTTAATAAACAACGTATGCCCAGCCCTGCACATAAGTTAATTTTGGTTCCAATACCGAAAGAGTATTCACAGTTATCTGTAACATGAGAGAATGAATTCTGCCTCACTTGCCTGCCACAGGTTAAAAAATTTTGCTAATGATTGTGTTTACATCTTGTACCCAACACTTGGTGTAATGATTCATGCTATGCTTGTGCCTTTCAAACCGCTGACAAACACCTCCTAAGTAGAGGTGTCACCACGAAACACAGACATGCTATAACTGTTGGAAGAATAATAGGCCAGTAGCCTAAATGTAAATTGATATAAATTCATGCATCCAAGCAGGGGCAGAGACGTGCTTTTCCAGTGACAGCTGAATAAATATACCCGAAGGTGCTCTCGCTGTATCTGCGTGGCCCAGTCACTGCCTGCTGTTACCTGTAACAGTAATGGTAGTGGGTATTGAAAGAGGCAAATTCTGGCCTCGGGGAGGCATGTGCAGTGAAGTCACCAAACTGACAAGCCAGAGTTTTAGCCCCAAAGTTTTGTTTAACTGTCACGGCGTTACAGTCCTTTTGTCACTGCTTTTATTTAACCTACCAGCAGCTCCTTAAGCAATCATGAAAGCTGTTCGGTATTATGCATAATCTGCTGGGGATGTGGAAGGAGAAGAGCTCTTGGACTGAATTGTTTATTGTCATCAGGAGTTAAGAGTCTTTATAACTCTCAGATGACAGACTCTGTGCCCAGAGTGGATCTACATCTAAGCTAAATGGGAACGCTTTGAAGCACAGTCTTCCTTTATAAACCTTGTGCCTCTCCTTGCTACTGCAACATCATGTTTCCTGCTGTATTTGCTCAGCATGGGTTAAAAGGGCTGGTTGCAAACTGCTGTAGGATCCTATAGCTATGGAAACCATGTAATGCGTATTTATGTAAATAAATGAAGGCAAAATCAGTCTCAGTCAGGGAATGCTTTTCTAACCATTAAATGGAAATCTGTCAAGCAGTTTTTTTTTAAAAGAAAAGAAACCTTCTTGGGACTCCTCTTCCACTCAATCAGCTGTACATTCCAGAGCATAACTTATCCCAATAACAGTACCTGTCATGCCAGAAAGAATTTTGTCCTGGTGTCCAATATTGTCCTTGTGGCATTGCATCGCTTCTGCTTTGTGCATGTAGTTTTATAAATTGTGTATTTTTTCAATAAACCCTAATTGATGATGATGTTACAATCTCTCGGATGCTTCAGGCTTTTATTACCATTAAAGGAACTTGTGGTTTAACGCTTGCTTTTTAACTGATCCTGTGGACGTAATCTTTCCACAGTTGCTTAGTTCCAGCATATCAGTCTATCAATGTTGTACGTTTTTTTAAATTAGGAATGTAGGGACTGAGTTTGCACCTTTTTATTTTTTTACATGGAACCTGCCGGGAGTTTGATGTAGTAAAAACAAGAACTTAGTACTTTTTCTTCCAGATGTATTCAGAACACTTAATGTGACATTACTCACCCAGAGAATGTATATTAAATGTACTAAAAGGTACCTGGTACAGTGTTGTTCCATGAGCAATATATCTTCTCCACAACCCTTTCATTGCCCGCATGTCATGTAATAATCCTTTTAGTAGAGTGGGTAACCATATTTGCCATCTACGTGTCATATATTTCCCCCACCCCACTTTTCCTTTCTCACTGGTTCCTGAATTGGGAATATGGACATAAACTGTCAGTTCTCGCATATTCCTGTTTGAGAGTGGAAGTAGAAGAAGAATTTCCGATGGTAGTTGTTTTGCTTGAAAAAGTTATTAATGAATGAGTGCAACACTGACATCATTTATTTTTAACTTAAAATTGTTTAATTTGATCTTTGCACCAAAATAAGTTGGGAGGAAGATGCTCAAGATTTACTATACTGGTATCCAAACAGGCAATTGCTTAGTAAGGCATTTTCCCTTGTACAGGTTTCACTACAAATGGACTGTGAAAGGAGAGAGGTTGAGTGCAGGGGTGAGGTTATAGCCCTGCCTGGTGTAGGTGCAGAAATCAGCACTACTGCCAGGTGAGAACAAGCAGTTCATTGAGGTAATAACCTACCTCTGGACATGTACCAGGTGCCCTTAAACCTTTGCTTGTGTGAGGTGTTTGGCATTGGGTGGTGTTAGTCGCATGCAGGGCTAAAACCTGCCTAAGTAAACTCATTGGCCGCGTCCAGGCTCGCATGGATGTTTGGTTCCCCGGGGACAACTAGCAGCAGCACAGCTCGTGCGGGCACTAGTTGTCCCCAGGGAATGCCTGTGCCATGTGTGCTGGCACGCAGCAAGTTACCCCGAGTGGGGGCCTCCAGGGGCTGCAACAACGGCGAGCCTGTCTGGCAGTGAAGTATGGTTCTGGCCAGCTTGGCTCCGGCTTTGGGCAGCACATGCTTTCGCTGCATGCACAGCTCCACTTTTTTTTTTTATCTCCATAGGTTTTTTTTTGCCCCCTGGATATCCAGGGGGCAAAAAACCCCACTCCTCACTGCTTCCTTGCAGCACAGAGAACAATGGAACATGTGTTATGTCTGCGGCACCACGTACCCCATGGCTGTGCTCATCTGGACACGGCCTTTGTGGGGAAATCTCCTTTGGTGTTAGTTGCACAAGTGCATGCAGTGGCCTGGCAACTGTCATTTTAGCATTGTCCTAACTCAGCTTAAAATAGGTTTAAACTGCATTTCTGTTCTTGCCTTCTCAGCTCTAGTGCTGCTGGTAGAAAGCTGGAGTTGTCAGCCTCTGTAGACCAGTTGTGTGTGACTTGCTGATGAGAAGGCAGCATGATGCCCAGGACCAAAGGTGCAGGTCTGTGAACCGGGGAGGAGGATCCTCTTTCAGTTGTGCCACTGACTTGCTGTGTCAGGTTGAGCAAGTGAATTGACTTCTCAGCCTGTTTCCTAGTCTGCACAATGGAAATGAGACATGCCCTTCTTTATGCATAACATGCTGCGAGTTCTGTGGGTGCTTTGCAGTGGTACCAGATGAAAAACCATGGGTCAAGAATATACAGAAGTCAGCTGGGAATAAAGCCAAGTTAGTAAGCATGTGGTAGGTGGTTATCCAAAGGTGGAGATGGATAGTGATAAGAAACCCAGGGACTTTTTAAAGGAGCAACCAATGGAGTGGGCAAGCTAAGATAATGATCTCTCTGCTTAGGAACGAGAGTACATCATCTTGAATAACTGACAGCTGAAGGTTGGTTGTTCATTTGCAGACTGTATTTACCGTAGCAGTACCACAATAAGGGGAGCTGTGCTTGCTAAACTGGCCAGACATTTCCCTCTGCTTGGCATGAATAAATAATAGATGAAACAAACTGGTGTATTGTAAATGGAATTTAGAATGCTAAACAGGCTAATGCAATTTCCATCCGCCAGGGTCCATTCCCAAGTTGTACGAAAGGCTTCCCTCCTCCTTTTTTAAAGGCTTGGAAAGGAACGCGTTGCCTTATTTTCAGTGTAAATGTAAGCTAAGCAGCGTGGCACGTGGCATGCCTCTGACAGGTGAAGCCTCTTAGCCAGACGTTCCTGTCGGCTAATGTATACACTTGTTTCCCATCAATGCCCAGGCAGGTAGCGGTGGGCAGAGGTGAATATAATTCATGCACATTTGATACCTCAGGGAGGGTTCAGCTTGTGGAAATCCTGGCTTCCTAGTCTGGCAGATTGCAGATACAGAACGCTATCCGGTGTTGTCTTGGATTTCACTGAGAACTTCTCTCCAGTAGGAGTCAGTGCTTTCCTGACCTGAGGAGCCTCACTGCCTGTCTTAAATTCCCCAGTGTTTGCAGGGACCTACATCAGGCTGCCTGCCAGAGTCCATCAGGACAGATCATGGCTAGCACTGGATCAATTGAAAATAACTGCAGAAATCAGGACTCTAGGCTTGCCCACTCACTGGAATGGTAAGAGCACGTCTGTCTTAAATTTCTGCCCCTCCCACCTTCCCTCCTCTCATCTCCTTGGAAATATCTTAGGACAAACAACTTGAAGCTCTTCTAGCTTTGGGAGCCTGTGTGCACCAGTCATAGCCTAGCAAAACTCTCCCAAGTTCATGACTAGATCTAGAACCCCTTCTGAGAGGACTTTGCTTTTTTAAGTATCTTTAAAACCCACATTTCCTCTTTCTTAAAGATAAATACTGAGCTTTTGCTTTTTTATTTTGCCCCATTAACATTTGGGCCATTTCATGGAAACCAGTTCAAGTACAGGATTTAGCAGGTGGGACAATCCCTTTTAAGTGGTTGTAGCATGTGCAAAGTTTCTCCCTTTAACCTAGTTGGCACTTTTACCTCCTTGAGCATCAACCTTTTCAGATGAATTATGTGCTTTCATTTAAAAAAACCCAAACCCAAACCTGTCACGTAGCTCTAATTATTTCCAGCAGCCATAGATTTCCCCCCCACACATACTTTGTCTCCAGCTGAGAAAGTTTCTAATATTTATTCTTGGATGGATGACTGTGCAGACAATCAAACTATTATTGCTTTGAATTCTGTAGCTGTGGTGATGTTTAATCATGTCACATGAAAGGGTTCAGATACCACAGATCCTTCCTATAAGTTGCATCAGGCACACTATATAATTTTGCCTGTTTTTAAAAGCATTCACCATCGCTACCCAGCTTTAAGCACGAGTCTTCCAGAACATGAATCAAGTCCATGCCAATTATGAAAGTTCAAAGGGGGCTTTATGTATATTTTTTTTTTTTTTTTTCCCCCCACCGGTGTTTTTTTTCCTTTGGATAGATGCCTGTGTCATCTTGTGTTAATGCACTTGCAGTGCCGAAGTTCTCCCAAGCTTTCTAAAAACTTTTGCTTCTTAAGCATAGGATTTAAGGAGTGAGGGAAGGAACCCACTCTGAGGATGTTCCTTGCTGCTTGCCCTGTTAACATCTGTAGTTTCTCTGGCAGCTGAAATGCATACGGTCTTTTTGAAAGAGGACAGGCAGGGCCAGATCCTGAAGATGAGCTTGGGGGAGAGCCTTCCCTTGCTTTGGACCTGGGGAGCACACTATAAAACTGCCTACTCCAAGTTACTCCCATTCAAGTCTGTAGATCACTGAATTTCCTTTGTGGGAGAGCTCTGTGTGGTGTGTGTATTACATACTTAAGTAACAACCCCTATTGAAGATCTCAATACTAGAACATAGGTGTTGTGGGGTTTTATTTTACTTTCCTTTTTTACCATCTGTGTTCAGCAGCCATAAAGTGTGTTGCGTGCCCCTTTGTGATAACTCCAGGAGATAATAGCCCCCTTCTGCTACTAGCTATGGAGTTGCTTTGTTGGAAAAAAGCCTGAGTGGTGGTTCTGAAAGGGCCAAGCTCTAAACCTGCCTGTCGTGCTTTCACAAGGGGGTTGCTGCATTCTGGCTTTTCTCTTCCGAGAGCTGTGCGAGGGTGCTCGGAGTAGTTATTTCAGGCCTGAGAGAGTGCCAGCAGCAGCTGTGGGCTAGAGCTGAGAGGAGGAAAGGGGCTCAGTGTCAATGGAAAGTGTACTGAAGTAGGAGAGAGAGACTAAAGGAAAAGGACAGTGCTCTGCATAAAGGAATACTGCACATGAATGTGACAATGGATAACTACAGGATAGACGGTACAACACCTGGGCTAGCCCCTGTGGTTGAAAACATGATCTTAGTATAAATGAACTATGAAGGAGAGGGTAGATTCCCAGTTCCCGGGTGCGTATCAGAGCTGGGTGCTCAGATTTCAAATATGCATATGCATCATGCATCGCTTCTAAGACTTCTCCATCTACCTTCCACGGTGGATAGCTTCAAATGGCTTCCACCATTGCAGCATGTTAGTGGGCTTTATGTCCCTTTGCCTACTGCCCTCCCCATTGAGAATCAAAGGTTGAGGCTGCTTCAAGCAACCTCTTAGGATTGACTGCTTTTCAACGAAGGTGCAAATCTGAACCAGTCACCCATGCCTGTGGGGCACAGTATTTTTAATAGAGGAATCCCTCGGGAGACTGCTAGCCAGCCATATTCTGCTGCAGCATGACTTGGAGATGGCATTTCAAATAGTTGACGATTTGTGTTGAGATCCCTGTTTTAAAAGCATCTGGTCTCTGCTTGGGGAGGGATTGGGTTTACTTGTAAGCTGATTCAGCAGTGTAATTTTTTTTAAAATTACTTATGCTAAATGATTTATCCCACCCTCACCATAGCCTGCACCTAGGTGTTGAGTCAGAAAACACAAGAGGACGTTATGAATCAAAAAATAAGTCTTTACCGGTAATTAGCTGCACACAAAAAGGAAAACGTGGTGGGCAAGCAGCAATTAATAGTTGCTTTACTGAAGGGTTATACACCATAATCAAAGGCCCATGGTAAAACGCCCCTTTAGCCTGCGGTTCTTTTATAACTTTTAATCCAAACAAAAATAATTCTCTACCAAAAGAGGATTTGAACCGTACACTATAAGGAAATGTCGGCATTAGACATCACACTCCTGACCTACCATGCACGCAGCGGCCCTTGTGTCCTCGCCAAGTGCAAGAAAAGGAAATCAAAATCTGACAACCAGAATAGAAAACTTGATGAATGCAGCAACTAGGTTTTGTAGGCAACCGTATGTTTAGGGCCCTGCCAGGCCCACAATGAAACGTAGGGCTATGCAGCAAGGATGGACCGAAGAGTCCCCGTGGGTGCTTTGGACTCCAGTCTCTAGGGCTGTGGGGAGCGGTCGTGACTGGTTCTTTCAAAACCACAGAGGAAGGAGGAGAGGAAAAAATAAAAAGATGTGAAATGAAATCAATTGCCTTGGACTGTGGTGGTGTTTGTTTGGCAGGGTCCCCGTGCTCTGGAACCAGACGGGCCTGTGCAAAGTGGGGCAAGGAGAGAGTCGCGGCTTTGCAGGGTGTAACGCAAGTCCCTCGTGATGCTGTCTGATGGCAGCTTCTGCACTACGCTGGTCAGTTCCCCCTTGCAGCCGGGCTTGTGCTGCAGCCACCTCTGGGTAGCGCTAGGAGGCCAGAGCAAGGCTGCTGCTGGAAAGACCAAAGCCAGCCCCACGTTCTGTACCTCTTTTTTGGCGGGGACGGAGACCAAACAAGGTTGTGTAAGTCCTACAGTAAAGGGAGGGTGGGGAGATGGTGGTGCGGTGACCCACCTATTCCCTTAGTCTCCCCAGATCCCTCTGATGATGCGCCTTGAGCTGGCTCCCATGGGTCTGGCGTTCAGAAGTCCAATGAGCATCGCAGCTGAAGGCCGAGCGCGCTGAGGAGGAGTGCGGGGAGGCTGAGGTATGTGCTGGAGGCTGAATCACAGTCCTGGCTCTCGGAGTCGCACTTGGACTGCTCGCACAGGACGCCCTTGTAGCCGGCCGGGCAGATGCACCGCTGGTTCTGGTGGCAGGTGCCGCCGTTTTGGCAAATCAGGAGCTCCTCATCACAGATGTTGGCTGCCAGGCAAGGAGGAGGAAGGAGAGAAAAAAACCCAACAGTGTGGGGAGTTATTGCATGCTACAGGCAGCCCTGGAGTCCCATATCCCATGCAACAGCAAGCGTCTTGTTGCCTTCTCTTGATTCAAAGGAAGTTGCATGCCAAACCACTCAGCTGATCCACTGCCCAAGGTGAGGCAGGGAGCTTAACTGTGTGACTAGGCAGGTTCTAGCCCCTTCTTGGTCTGTGTTTCTTGCCCCCGCCTGCTAATCCCATGGCTTCGGCCCTACAGTGCCAGGGCCCACGCAAGGCTCCAGGTCCATAGGAGCAAGAAGGAGCTGCCCACTGCCCTTAAATGCAACATCAGCACCTTGTGGGACTTGGCTTTGTAGCCAGGCCCTACTGGGGGTCAGTGCCTAGGTCACCTTCTCCTGGCATCGAAAGATAGAAAGTGCTCCCTGCTCTCTACCTCTCTGGTGGACAGGGCTTCTCAAACCAGTCCTGCATCTAACAGATGAGTGGGCCCTTGCTTCCCAGTCAGGTAGCATTTGGGGGACAGCCATGGTTGCCAACGGCCCTGGGGTACTTACGAAAACAACCCTGTCTCCAGTAGTAATTGGGGAGGCAGTCGTCGCACTTGGGCCCCATGGCTCCTTCTTTGCATTCACAGTAGCCGGTCTCATTGCAGCGGTCGTGCACTGAGCCAATCTGATTGCAGTTGCATTCTGTCCAAAGACACAGCCGTTAGTGACCCACTTGGGCAGCGTGCTGCCGCCGCTGGGGTGCTCTCCTCTCTAGGCTGCCTAAGGGCTTTGCATCTGGGGCTGGCGCCAGTGGCATAAGCTCCCCCTTCCCTCCATGGCCTCCAGAATCCAAGGGGAAAGTTGACTTGTGGAGGTGTCTCATCTTTGCTGACACCACGTTGGGGCTGGGCACTGCCCTGCCAGCCAAGGCTTGATACTCCAGAGACTGGGTCAGCCACTGCTCTGAGGGGTGGAGCCAGGCTTTGCAACCCAAGGACCCAAGAAACAATTCAGCCCCCATGCTGTTGTGTGTGGACTTTGACCCGTGCTCAGTGTTTAAAGTGGCAGCTGAGGGGTTGACTCCCAGAACCCTGCAGGGCTACCCCATGCATCTGCCTAAGACACAACTGGTTGCTCAGAGCCAGATCTTGGGGGGGTCAAGGCTGCAGGTACCACCAAGGGGATGCTTGGCCCACAGAGCCACGAGGTGGAGCGACGGCTACTTGGAAGGGCCTAGCCTGCTGCAGGACTGCTGGTCACCGCAGCTGCCTCGACTTTGTCCGAGACTGAGGTTGCAGAGGTTGGCTGAGCAGCTCCGATACAGTACAACGGCTTTGCCGGCGCAGCTCTGAGCGCTGCGGTACCTCCTCTGAGGCATTTCCCTCTAATCCTTTTGAATCTCTTAGAAGGCGACAGGCTGGGCGAGGGCTAAGGTAGAACAGGAAGTCAATTTAGTGCTGGCACGGTACTGCCAGCCCTGATCCAGACAAGTGTCTGGGCTGCTTGTGGTGTTGCAGCTCGGCCTTCCTCCTCAGAGAGGGTGAGAGGGCAGCGAGGGACTGGAGTCTGCCAGCAGCTCCACAGTGAGGTGACTGGGATTATGGCAGTGTAGGATGAGTGCAGAAATGGGCCCCTCAGCCAGGAGCTGCAGGGCAGTTATGAAAGGAAGAAAAAACTCTGGAGAGAGAGTCAGCAGGCCTGGCACCAGTCTGCTCCTTGATTAATTCCTAGCAGTCTTCCCGATTTTCTTGCCAGAAGCCTCCCACCTGCAAGCAGGCATAAATCCCATACAGTACACTCTCTAATTGGCACTGGTGGAACCGGGGTGGGATGGGAGGCAGCCGACAGGGAGTCCATCTGAGCTGGAACAAAAGGTTTTGCCCTGTCAGTCAGCAGCTCAGCCTTGCTCAGAGCTGGAGAGTACAGCTGTTCTCTCCTTCCCCAGGTGGCAGTAGCCCTGCAGGTAGTCCAGAGCAATGACACCAGGCTGGCTAATGAATGAGGACAAGAGGGACTTCACAGCACAGTGCTTCAGTGCTGCAGCCCGTGACCCTGCCCAGCAGTAACCCAGCAAGAGCTGAGAGGCTGGAGACTTGATGGACGAAGGGAAGCACCATAGGATGGCGGCTCTGTCAGCAGCTAGTTCAGATCCAGGCTCCCCCTGCTAAGGCCGTGTGAGCTTCCTGCAATCATGATGGCCCGTCCAGGGGGCACTGAGAGTCAACATGGACATTTCGCCACAAGACACAGGATGTGGGTGGCAAAGATCAGTTCACACAGGCTGCCTGATACCTCTCAGTAAGTAAGGACTGTGGCTCACCATGACTTAGGTAGCACTGAAGCAGCCACCCAGTGAAACTTGTGGGAGGGGGGTCCCCGTTCCCCTTCGGGGTCGAGCGGGGCCGCTACTCACCAATGCAGACATTCTCATCATCGAGCTCCGCGGAGCCGTTACGGTAAAAGCCGAGGCGGCAGTGCTGGCAATGCTGCCCCCGGGTGTTGTGTTTGCAGCTGACGCAGGTCACCACGTTCAGGAAGTCTATGTAGCTGCAGCGATTGGAGTGGCCATAGCACTCACAGTCTGGGAAGGGAAGAGAAGAGAAGTTGACATTTCTCTGCCAGGTCACCCCTGCCACGCACAGCCACTCCCATGGCACTGGCCAGGCTCCACCTGTGGCGCCAGTGCAGAGAAATGACTCCAGAAGACGTGGCAGGTTCTTCCATTTGACACACTGCAGCTGTCTTTAAAAATATGGAGACAGCTACCTGAGTCTGCTGCTCCCCTGCACTGCCATGTGGAAGGAGAGGGGTTGGGAAGTAACCCCTTGGCATTCGCTCATGGAGGCAGGTGAGAATGTGATGCCGGGCATCTTGTGTGGGCGAGAGGGAGCACAGCAAATTCAGAGGATACCTCTTCTCCCAGGCTTGTGAGGGGTTTAGGGAGAACCTGGGAGGCTGAGAGCAAAGCTTTCCAAACTGTGGTCTGCAAGGAAGTGGGACAGTGGGCCGGGGCCAACTTTCCTCTGTGGGTACTTGGGGAACCCAACTCCTGCTCCATGACAAGGCCCCTTTAAGGCAACAAGTATTCAAGGGAGCAGCTCACTCCCTGTGTAATGTGGCCAGGTGCTAATTATTAAGTAGCTGCCTCCTCAGTGGGATAAAACCCAGCTGCTGGGCTGTGCCCTAGAGAGGGATGGGGTCCAGGGTGTGAGGAGCAGAGTTTCAGGTGCACACTTTCTCGAGCATTAGTGATTGCTCACAGCAAGGGTCTAGGACTTGAGGAGAGATTTTGAACAAGAGCGAGAGCCTAGGTAGAGGTGGGCTGGAGGAAACAGCTTGAACCAGGACCCTGTCCCATAGCAGAGGATGTTGCACTCCCTGAATTGCAAGAAGCAGCTGGGAGTCCAGGGACCTGCGTGGGAGGCCTATGGAGAAGACCCCCAGGGAGTCCAGCACCCTTGGCAGACCTGGTGGACTGAGCAAGGTCTGGAGGCCCTGAAGCAAGGGTGAATTGGAGCTGAAGCTGCTTGATGCCATAAGTAAGTCCCTTCCACTTCTCTCTGTACCTTGCCTGCCTTCTTATGAATGCCTTCACTCATTACAGGAGGCTTCATTCCCTCTTCCCTGCCCCGGGCTTTGGCCAGGAGCCTTGCCCTGCTATAACTTGATGTTCCCTACCCTTCCCCCCTGGCTCCCCAACCAACCTCCCTTCTCTCATTTTTTCCGCCTAATTCAAACCTTTTGTGTTTGAGAGTCTGCAAACCCTCAATCCCTGAAGCAGGGGCCTGTGCAATTCCCACCCCTCTGCAGGGAAGGGTGTGACAGTTTACTGGAGTATAGGGGCTGAGTAACCTAATGGGGGAAGTAGCTCTTTTTAAAAGGATCCTTCCCCTTTTAAAGCGGGGGGGCAACCTCTGGCTTTGTACCCTGGCTTTAGTTTCCAGAGGCAGGAGTTTCCATGTCTCTTGAGCAGGTTTTCTGTTTGACACAATGGGGTAAGATCACTGAAATCTTAGCTTGCAGCGCTGTGATTCAGGGAGACATAGAAGCCTGCTGGGATGATGGGCCCAGGAGACAGGACTGGTAGAAGAAGTGGTCTGCGGGGAGAGGGGCTTGAATTTCATGCTGCTGCTTGCCCACGTGGCGTCCAAGTGCCTATGATGCTCTCGGTACCCTGTCCCTTGTGGCAAGGGGGGCACAAGGAAGCTGAGGGTAGTAGGGAGACTTGGAGCCAGGCCCCAGCTGCTGCCTCTAAACCCAGGTCTGAGCTTTCCCAGTGGCTGGAAGGATCCAGACCCATCCCGTCTTGCATGCTGATGTGACAACGGGTGGCGGGAAGACGGCATGCAGGGGGAGTGGGCTGACATGCACAGGTGGCTGGTTAGATTTGCTTCAATGAAATAAAGTCCTGATGAGATGGAGCATGGCAAGGCCTTTCCCCACAGTTCAAGCTGCTTTGGAAGGAATCAAAAACCTAGATCCTCCGTGAAAAAATCACTCCTAGCTCAGTTCATGTTGACAGCCTCCCAGCAGCTCTGGCTGCCATAGGCCATGCCAACATCAATTTATCATGAAGACCCAATTTTAATAACCTTTTAATACAGGATTGCATCAGATGCACCACCCCCCCGCCCGTCTCCTAGTGTGCTGAGATCCTGGTGACCCAGACAGATTAATCATTCTGACCAAGACGACCTTTTCAGAGCCCTCAGCATCTTGGTTTCCAGTCCGTTCCCGCCCCTGCCCATGTCACCCTCTTACCTTTAAATGTCCGTATCGGCGTCACGGGGTCAGAGTCTGATTTGAGCCGGGTGACTTTGGAGCTCTTTGAGGGCACTTAGAAGAAATTGAAGACATGCTTTTTCTCACCGCTTAACACAGCTTTGCTTCCTACACTACGGGAGAGCGGCTCTCGTGTTAGAACAATAACAGCCCAAGCCAAGAACATCACTTTGGCATTGCTGAAATCTATTTCTGCATGAGGCAGCTGGTGGCTTTCTACATTTCTCCTCTGTTTGTTTCTCGCTTCGCCCCCCCCCCCCCCCCCCCCC